CATCGGCATAAAAATGATAATTCAATCCATGATTTTGTAAAATGCTTGCTAAGGGCTGTGTATATAGTGTGATTAAAAGTTCCATGGCTAATATTAGACTAGATCTTGTCTTTATATGTAATATTTTTACACCACTATATGAAGCAAATCAAGGGCTTTCACATGATATTAAATTCCTAGAAAACACAAGTCATAATCCTGAGAAATGGCGAAAAAATGCATAGAGCTGTTTCATAGAGCTATTTCAGCAGCCTGCTAGGCTTACCTTTAGAATGAATTAAAGGATCTAATCTCTCATAAACTACTGGCCAATGCATTCCTTCCAGATCTTGGGACCTTACAGGTAGGTCCTTGAGGCTTGGGGCCTTGCTATTCAAAAGAGGCCTGGGCTTGACACAGCGGCCTTGCTGGATTTTTGCAGACAATAATAATTTAAGGATTGACAAAAAAAAATGCAGTGTGCCAGCTCAACTGGATCGTCGTATGCTAAGAGTTGGTTTAGGCCTATACTTACTTGTGTTTTACGTACACACACAGACAGAGAGAGAGAGAGAGAGAGAGAGAGAGAGAGAGAGAGAGAGAGAGAGAGAGAGAGAGAGAGAGAGAGAGTCAAAGTTGGGAAGTTACTTTTCGGGTATTCCCAAGGAATAATAATAGACATAGGCCAAAAAGCAAAATATCTAATAATAGGATTATCGGGAAAACTAACGGAAGTCACAGCAGCAAGTCCATCCTCATCCTGTTTACTGTTTACTGTTTACCATCTAGGAGGCAACCATTCGCAGGTAATCCAAGTGCCCTTTGCCTTCTATTATCGGCATACTTGTCATAGCAACGCAACTACAAATTACACATAGATTCTAGATCTACATGTGCTGAACATAGTAAGTGGGTTGAAGAATAGCAACTCACTTTTTTCACAAACGGATGAGATACATGCTATAGTTTTGTGAGTGCTGCTGATTGCTGGAAGGGTGACTTCAACTTCAAAATTAAAAAAGGTAGGTTCGACAGTTCGACGATTTCAATTCTAGGCTACTACCGGTACACTAGGTCTACACTCTACTCTTCTTTAGTCTTTAGGCCTACACTAGGGAGACTAGGCCTATGTCTTCTACTGAGTACTAGATCTAGATTTTTTAGATCTAACATACTGCCTTACTTTTTACTTCGGTTTTGTTATTACTATAGACTATAGCTATAGAAAGTGGCTATTCTCACCCGCCCGGAAGTTCGTTCTCGCAAGATCTACTCCTCCCCTCTT